CTGTCAGGACCAACATCCCCTGGTTATGTCAATACAAGATATACAATATACAGAGTCATTTTAACATAGCATAGCACCACAAACTAGAAAATAAATTTGCAATTCTTAATCTGGTATATGTAATGTACAGCTAAATGTGTAATCATGGTCCATACCATTACACTGGATGATCATTTGCAGATTATAATGTTATTTTAAATCCATTTACACTAAATCTATTTACACTGTTTATTTTCACTATAATTTATTTATTTAGAAATCTATAGATCTACAAAGTCTTTCATGCTGTTTGGCTAAAGTAAAAGCTCTTAAAATAAAGCTTTAAAATATTATAGAATTGGTTGCTTGAAAGTAAGATCGATAGTAAAACTGTAAAAATTCAAAAAGACCTAAAACAGGAAAGTAGTCAAATACAGATCCACAACAAAGAAGCAAGAATCAATCAGAATTGAAAAAGACAAATTAGCACATTATTAAAAAGCACTAACAGAAAAGGCAACACTTTTATTTTAATCTGTCTTGCCAAGTTACCTCGGAAGTACAAACTCAGGAGAACGCAAGTACAGAGAACACATTCTCTGACAAATGAGATGCTGCGTTCTTCCCTGGTTCTTCCTGATGGTCACATGACATTCACACATTTTTTAACAGGAAATTATTTAAACATTACAGCATTCATAACACAATTTATTATTTTTTCCCTTTTCACAATATATACTATGCATAAATACCTTACAAATATATGTTTCACAATACAAATAAAACGGATTTTATTGTGAATTTTAGCAAATAAACACCCTTAATATGTTTATGCCTATATTAAGATTTTCATATTATTGTTTACTTTCAAATTCAGGGAAACTCCTGAGGTAAATAAGTTATATCTCAGAATTTTAATAATAAATCTATATAAAATGCTTCCATTCCTAACTCCAGTTGCAATGACTTCTGGGACTTCCAGAGCGAGTTTGGTGCTCAAGCCCGCATTAGTGCATCCTCAATATCAAGAACACATCCAGGAACTTTCACACATCCTCCATTCCTACGGTCTTGAGTTTTGGAACAGATCTTTGGCAGTTTATGATGACGTTACACGCGAACACGAGGACTCAAGATCGCTGAAGAACGCATATTGAGAAACAGCCATCGTCTACAGCAGGGTTACCCAAACCCCTGGAGGGCCGAGATCCTGCATAGTTTTGCACCAACTTTCTTCAACACACCTGCCTGGAAGTTTCTAGTATACCTAGAAAGAGCTTGATTAGCTGGTTCAGGTGTGTCTAATTGGGGTTGGAACTAAACTCTGCAGGACACTGAGCCTCCAGGACCAACTTTGGGCAAACCCTAATCTACAGGTAATATGCTTATTTTATCCTTTAAAATATGCAGCTTCACATTCCACACAATAATAGGCGTTTAATTAAAGACAGTAATAAATTGTTGTAGAAACAAGTCATTAATGAACCAAGCAAGCATCACTGGGATTTATCTCATTTTAGCACCATCACTACAATCTTACTTTAACTGTGACAGAAAATGATGGTCATGAGCTGGCTAAAGTGACTATGTATTTTTTAAAAGGTACAAATATAAAGCAGTAGAAAGCGCACTAATCACTTAGCAGACACATGCAAAAGTAGCAACGATGTCATCAGGACTGATATCAAACATCACTGCAGTGGCTGATTTGACAGCTGAAATCAGGAGAACAGCTGAAGTGGTTCACAGAAAAAGAAGGTCATACACAATGACCTAACTCCCTGAAAGAGCACAGTACATTAACAAAGCAAGACTCACACTGCTGTTTAGACATCTCTCTTAAACAATGAGTGTTTTCAGTTAGTTAAGCATTAGGGGAGTAAAGCATTAGGTAAGTGTCTATATCAAACGTGGCTGAAATAAAATATCTAAAAGACTAAATACAGTATAGACTAGTGGTTGCTAGCACGTTTAAGGTAATTATTAAAAAGTTTTCCATAACTGAAATAATGTACAATAAGATCAAATAAAATAAAATAATTAAAAATGTAAACCTAAAAACTAAAAACAAGCCTAAAATTAGAGCTAACTTTAAAGTACAAAGCTAAAGAGCACCTATGAAGCTCCTATGCAATTTTATTTTACATTCTATGGCAAAAACACCATTGAGCCTCCCTAGATCCCCATTGTATGGGCACGCCTCAGTTATAAACACTCACAAAACATACATTTGGACAACTATGTGGATATATTAAATTGTTCACACAAAAATACACAAAGAGAGACTTTCACTTTCACTTCACTCATAGTTTGTGCATTAACAGACTTGCGTGTACTAGTTGCAGAGCGATCATAAGGTTTTTTTTGCGCCAAGTTTTAAGTAATCAATCAGAGAAGAGGATAAATTGCATTACTTTGATAATTTTAATATAGCATATAATAACGAAATCCAAAAATTATAGTATAATATTGAGATTTTTTTTTTTATCTCACGTCCAACCTGCAGGATCATTGAGGCCCACTAGTGGGCTACGGCCCACCGGTTGAGAATCCCTGAGCCACACTATCTCCCTAATTTGAGTTCAAATTGTTTACAGAAAGGTAAGATTATTTTATTTGTGTTTTCTGTTTGCTCTAGAGAAAAATTGGTGTTTTATTTCTGAATATTTTAGAAACATTTTGAATAAATGTTTAGTTCATTTCTTTTCAGTTTCTTTTTTAACTAACACTCAATGCATTTTAAAAGCTACAATACAGATTTTTGAGCTGAAGCTTGACTACAAATTTAAATCAAAAATCAAATCGAAATCGCAATATCCATCAAAAAAAAAAAAAATCATAATTAGATGTTTTCCCCAAATCACACAGCCCTAACATCAACCTCAAAAAATATATACATATGCCAGAGTATCTGACGATTTGATAAATCAGGGACTAAGTTAAAGGATAGTGAGAGAGTAGTCTGAATAAAAAAATAGAAATCCAAACAAATTGCTAAAATTAAAATGTAAATTGTAGAGAATTGGGGATTTGGAAAGTAACACCCCATCCATAAAAGCAAAATCTCAAATCTATGCTGTGCAAACTTTAGTACAGTTTGCTTTACAGTACACAATCATACTAATCTACTATCTCAGAAGTGAGATGCAAATTAAAAACACAATAACCAGTTAAATGCCAGCAAAACCCCTCATGTCTGGTGTAGATATGCTGAAACTTTGCATTAATGTGTTCACTTGCTCACTGTCTTGTCAAGCTGCATGCAGTGAGAATCTCTGGACTAGGAAACTGAACCAAGTGTAAAACCACACTTGCTTTTTACCAGCCCGCTTGACTCAGCCACAACACAGAATGTCCAGTTCATTATTACAGAGGTTCTGTTTGTAAGGAGGACAATCTCCCATTCCCCAGCCACAGCTCTGAGTGCTGCACATTTGAGGGTACAATTTTTTGGGCATGTTGACGGGCAAGAAGTATATGAACAGAGACAGGTGTGTGCGTGCAAACAGCTGACTGACTGACATACACGTAGACGCACAACACGGTTCAGCACAACATAGGATGTCTCTTGTCTGCCGCCACATATGCTAGACTCAGCTAAGGAAAGAAGGATAAGGGATGAAATGGGATTGGACTTGAGGACAGGACACCAACGCGATGTCAACTCTGTTATAATGTATAAGCCTCAGACTCAGCACGTCTATTGGAAAAAATGAGGACTGAGAGCAAGTCGGGATTTTAAAGCTAGAAACTTAACCAAACGCAAGGCTGAATTATTCAAACATGCAGCTGATGCACTTTTGACGACTCTTTAGTTCCAAACTAGATGAGTGAGAGCCCTTAAAACAACCTCAGCCCAAAGTGTTCTAAATGACAATGAGCTGCAGGCCTGTTTAAAAGTTGACCAGACGTGCCACTGTTTCGTTAGCGAATTTCCCATTCAAACTTTGCATTTAAATAAAAATAAACAATTGGAATAAGTCATAATTATGTTTAGTCGGTATGTAAATGTGCACTGCAGTCATCGATATGGCAGCCAGTCTTTACCGGCATGTTCATGTTACATGGAGAGCGACCGCATGATAGGTCCAGTGATTGTAATACATCTGGCTTGAGAACTAACGACCGAGTACAGCAAAGATCCATATGCGGGAGAGAGCAGGTTTGCATGTTTGTGTAAATTCAGGCAATCATCTGGCAAATGACGGTTTGATGACACTTAAGTGGCTTGAGCAAGAGTCAAAAGTTCATGCAAACTCATGCCGTATTTCAAATCCTCCAACACAGTTCTCGCAAATGAGAAATTCTATCGCCAGCTATGGTTAGGCATGGTGTTTAAATGTCTAGTGATTTACAACAATTATATTTTACGCAATTGTTTGACTATTGTTCGGCAACAAAAGCTAAATGTGCAGTTGATGTATTAAGCACATCCAATATATTACTAAACCAATTTTTATTAAGTAGTAAATACCTAAAACGGAACAGAAATGTCAACTCCATGATGATATTGGTTTAAAGTCATAGCAAACCAAATTACAAAGGTAAAAAATGATCCTGACCTAACGACTACTAGGTCAGGTAGTTAGACTAAAAAAGTCTGCAAAAAGTATTTCTAGTTCAAGATTTTCTTTTCACAAAATTTAATTTTCATAGTTGCATAGAAATGTTTTCCTTTTACAGTTAATTTGTAGGATGTGATGATTTAACTAAGCTTTTTCTGTCACTTTACTCACTTTTAAAAATAACAATGTTCAGTTTCTTGTACAGACTTTTTTGTGCTTCACAAGTCTTCAATGTAGTCAGGAGCATTGGATATTGCTAATGAAAATTTGTTTTATCATTTTCAAAGTGTCAGTAGCTGCTTACTTGCATTTTATGAATCAACAAAGACCGCAATTTCAGCTAAATCTTCTTCAATGTTAAAAAAATGTCAGCTGTCATTTTTTGGGTGAACTTACTCTTTAATAGACAGTGAAAGGTCTGTGAATGTAAGTGTTAAATGGTGTGTAGAAACTCACCCTGTGCGCTTGGTGATGGTGCCCAAGGTCATGGGTTGTTTGATCTGAGCCAGTGGTAGCACAACCGTCAAACTGGGTAACGAAGACAGACGTGGGTTACCCATGTTGTTATTGGTGAAGTTGTTGAAAGATTCTTGGCTGGTAAGTTTGGCTGTAAAAAAAAAATGAAAAAAGACATTTAAGTTTGAAATCAAATTATTATTATTATTTTTTTACCATACAGATAGAACATTTTCTCTACGATATGTTTAAACCTTTTAGAAATAAAATGTTGCTCTTTTAAGCATTCTATTTTCAACACTGAGCAATTAAAATTAGTATACTACAATAATTCTAAAAATAACGACTGCTTAAAATTCAGCTATCAATTAATTTTAAGTGTGTAAATGACATTAAATTTTTAAAAATAAGTCTTATTAAATGCTTGTATAAAAAAATATAAGAATAGTGATGAATGGCCAACAGCTAAAATACAAAGGATTAATTCATAACTTATTATATCTTCTCAGAAACTAAAACAAATCAGACACAAGGTTTCTACAGCTCTGCTCTTTATTATCCACCTTCATCTGTTTTTATTTTTAATGTGTTGCTTCTCAGTCTAACTAGTACAGGGATCAATTTGATCAATGCTTCCATGCACTTCAAAAAACTATATAGTGCGCATGTACTCAAATATTCCAAACAAAGTTGAAGTGCGGCTTTTTTGTTTTTTTAACTCCATTATTTTTTCCCCTTTCGACATACAATATTTCGGGGCAGCCCAATAATCTCAACGAACATTTTCCTTGCTTCCATTGTAATAAGGCCAGGAAGAGGGTATTCAGGGGGTTGGAGAAATACCTGAGACACAAAACAATGATTATCTGAGGGCAAAAGCGCTGAGAGCGGCCGTGCCACAGTGTTGGAGGGGTTTTAGATCATTAGCCAGTCTCTCTGTCTCTCTCTAATACCCAGAAACGCTGTCTTTGTGCTTAACCAAAGAGAGGCCATTTAGGCCTCATGGCCCTCGATAAAGGCCTGCTTTGGCTGGAGACATTACACAAACCCCTGCGCCATTCCACACAGGGCCCGGATCTCAAGGGCCCTTCACATTTCAAAACCACTACACCCCAAGCGCAGCCACCTTTTGTGTGCAAGAGCAGCAGAAAAGAAAAGGAATTCGAACAGGAAGCAGCCTGAAAACCCATGATGGTGCTTCTGATGGACAAAGACGAGGAGTAGAGGAAGAAAAATCTTAATGAATTTAGCATCTTTCCAAGAAGGACACACTCAGTCTCTGTGCACGTTTGAACCAACACTAAATCAAAACCCGGACACGCATGCAAACATCGTCACGCCGGCAGAGCTTAAGCCCTCAAAAAAAATATATATAAGCAGACGCCTCTTGCACGGGATGATGTGAAACTCAGCCACCGGATGACGTAAACCAGAGTGTGGCAGGCTTGGACGAAACCCTCAAGAATGGCACGTCCGAGAGAGGCAAGGCGCCTGGCCAGTCAAAACGATCCTGCTTATGGAGCCGTCATTTGATTAATGACTCATGTGTGATGGCCTGCGCAGTGATACATGACAAGCCAATGGAAAGAAGATCCATCAATGCAAATCCACAGCCGTCGCAGGTCTAACTCCAAGAGGCCGGCCGGGTCGCCCTCTGTCACCTGACCCTTCTGTTCGAGCTCACTCCGCTCCATTTGCATTTTCTTCTAATGGCACAGACCTGGCCAGCCCTGTCACTGATATCTTGTTTTTCCCCCTCAAGCTGTTCTATTTGCATCTGATAAAGCAATGAACACAAGCGATCCATTTAAACTGACGCTTTCCATTCGTTATTTGGTCGATTTGCACACCAGAAGCTAGAAAAAACAACATTCCTACGCAAACAGCGTCCACACCAACGCTGAAGTGAAATAAACAACGTGACCTCGACAGGCACCGATGCGCGAAACGTGCCTGGGGACAAAATATTGCACGACGTTCCAAAGTGTCAGTCGTTGAGAAATGACCAGGCTTTAGGAGCATCTGCGGAAGAACAGAAAAAAATGTTGCTCTCTCCCTGTTTGGGAAAAGGTTGATATATATTCTGTTTTACCCATTCATGTCTTTCGCGCTTGTCCAGGTTTCCCAGACATGCTCCTGTAAGAGCGTAGTTCACAGCAGATTGGGATTAAGAGGGGAAGAAAAAAATAGAGGGATGAGTGGAGAGGAAAAGGAACAATGGCGGTACCGCCGCACTCAGGGGGAAGGCGCTGTCATGTCAAGCCTGCCTGTGCCAATTCCCAGAGCTATCATTATTAAAATACACACTTTCAAAGGAGGAGTACTACAAGTGGAAGGTGGAGGGAAAAAAAGGAAAGTAAGTAAAAGGAGAGGCCAGAAAGTGCCGGATAAAAGCAATCCCTGTGGACAAAGTGAAAACAAATTAAAAGGACCATTATAAAACACAGATGCTGCAAAGAAAATAAACTTCACAAGATTTAGTGTTTTCAAAAGAAATCAGACTTTGGTGGAAAAGCCATTTCTGGTTGCCTCTGCTTTTACAGTATCTGCTAGCTGCTATTTTCAGGCTTTCACAGAGGGGTCAAGCCAGCCTATGTGAAAATGGCCAACTGCCAGTCTTTTCCCTGACTGCTGGTGAACGAGAGTGCTTTTAAAGTGACAGCAGAGCTTTTTTTCCCCCCTCCTCAAAGTTTTCAGGATTGCACGACATTGGCTTTAATGAGCAGAAACATTATATGAAACTTCCTGACTACAAGCAGACTTCGTGCCACACTTAAATTTTCACCATGAGACATGAATCGTACATTTTCTGTTTCCTCCTCGTTCCATGTGCTGATTTCACTGCAAAAGTCGCTGCATGATTACAAGCTATTGCAGATTTATTCATTGCTGCATTATAGGCATAGAACAAAGAACGCGTTCTCATGCGTGTAATTTATTAACCAAACTACATACGAACATCTCGCTACGAGGCTGTCTGAAATCAGATCCAATAGTTTACAACATGTCAGCATTTACAGCTCATCAGAGGAGCACCTTGGTGACAGTGGGAATCTACACTCTTCTGTGGCTCAGATAACAGCCTTACTCAAACCATATGTGAGAGGGTTTGTTTGCAAGGCAATCTGTGTATGTGTGTGTGTGAGGATGTTTCACCTCAGACGAGCAGACTTCGCAAACGGTGCATGAGAAGATGAACAGGAAGGCATCCGCAGACTCAATCAATGCACCTCGGCATGTGGCTCTGATCAGGAGCACGTAATCTGATCATGTCAATTTACTTATGGGTAAGTGGGAAGCGTATTCTCTCCTCCCAGTCATGAACGCTGCAGTGTCATTTCAGACATGTCTAAATGAAACCCTATGCTGATTTGTCGGACAAAAAAAAGACATGTTCATTTAAAAAGCACAAGGATGTCAGTCAACTGTTGTTACAACTGTTATGGACAGCGATGTGAACACAACAATCTCAATATTCAGTTAATGAGTCTTAAAAATGTGATATATAGTATCAGTGATATCAATAAAAACAACTTAGTCTTAGTCTGAAATCTCAGTTCGGATACATAAAAGTTTAAAAAATAAGGTAGGTACCAGGCACAAAAATAAACACGACTACACAAAAAAAAAAAAAAAAAGAAGCCTATTATTATTTAATAATTAATTATTTACACTATTTATAATTAATTATACAAATTGTATACTTATTGTTGTCCTATTAATATTAGTAATACTAATACATGATTAGATTAATTAAACAAATAAGCCAAACCATACATATTGAACAAATTTAATTAATTACAATACAAAAACAAATACAGGGAAGTAGTATATATAAAAAAAATTATAAATTAAAATAAATATAAATAAATATAAGAAAAACACAAATAAATAAATAAATAAATAAAGCACCAACCTTAATACATATTTTAACACGTGTATAAAAAACCCCAAAACAAACACAGAAAACAAATTTTAAAAAGATACTTAAAAAAAATAGTTAATAATTTATACTTTTAGTTAAAATATATATATATTTTTTTTTAATTTACATGTGGCTTATTTTATCCTATTTTATAGTTTTTCTTTCTAAATATTTAAAATTAATTACAATTATTATTAAATGAATTATTTTAATGTAAAATATAATAATGCTTACTACTAAGAATTCTACTGATTTATGATTACATTACAATTGAACAATGGAATGAGTCATTAAAAATAGTGCTGCTACAGCTGGGAAAAAAGGGAACGAGCAGTAAATCTTGTTTCTTGTGCCATAAATGTGTTAAACAGCACTGACTAATCATGTCTTTAATAAATATTTGTTAAAACTGTTCTAGCCTTGAAATGTCAATAATCAAAATTCTATTCCCTTTCCAAATGCACACCAAAGAGGTAATCATACACTGCCTAGAGCAAGCACTATTTTCAAACTCTTTAATGCAATTAAAATATCTAGTATCCAACCACAACATCAACCCTGCACAACTGGCAAAGTTCATAATTACAACCAAAAATTACAAGTCAAAGTTAGTTTTGACTGGTGGAATTCTGAAAAGAGTATGCTTTAAAGTATATAAAGCATTTGCAATAAGAAATTAAAAACCAGATATTTTCATCATTACCAGACTTGATTTGACAATACAACAAAAACAAGATTATCCAACAGCCACAAAATAAGCAATATAATCTATGTATTTGCTTACCATAAAATTATATTGTGCAAACACAAGCATATCAACTTGTGGTTTTGGTCAAAGTTACACATTAAAAAAGGGAGCCTGGGGAAAAAAGGTTCATGTAAAATACTCAACCACCAAAGCTTTTTCAGCATACCTTTAAAAACACATGAACACACAATAAACTATAATTTGTAAACTAATATTTCAAAGAATCAAGAGCAGGAATGTTGCATTGCATCATGGTACAGAGAAACTTTGACTGTGGGACAGTGCAGGGTCTCAGGTCATGAGAAGTGTCAAAATCACATTTCCTCACAGTGGGAAAGGGCAGCGCAACATCATGGCTCACTCTGCCTGATAAAGACACACCAGCACAGTCCAAAAGATTCACATGAGAGCAAGATCAACAACATTATTTATAAAAAAAGAAGAAAAAAAAAAACACATACCAGGCCACCCAGGCCAA